ATCCATGAATGACACCTTGGCTGTGTACAAAATCTTTGACTCCCTCATTTATTTTTCCACAAGATACCAAAAGAGTTACCCACTTTTGGAGGTATTGAGTTTAGCAGTGGAGAAGTCTAATAACAACTGAATTTACTTTTTCTGATAGGCAACTTGAGAGTGTAATAATTTTATTAGGTAATGTTTTGGTACTGATGATTTGGGGTCATTTTCCCCTGCAGCATGCTTTATTTCAGGAAATTATTCTTGAATGTTAAAACTGTAGTTCTAGATATTGTTCTCTTTCCTTAATTTGGATTTCATCTTTAGGGGCTCTGCTTATTTGCATATTAGATCTTTGCTGACTTTCATTGTTTCTTCAATAATTTTCATCTCTTTCTTTGTTTTTTTTTTTTTTGTCTTTTTCTGTGTCCGGCAACGGATCGCAACCCTCAGTGTCGCCCCCGTACCGGACCGGGACCGGCAACGGGATCGCAACCCTTGGTGCTGCTCCCGCGCCTCGCTCAGCCAGTGAGCGGGAACCGGTCTGTATGTGGGATCCGAACCCTCGGCGGGAGCGCCGCCGCACTTCCCAAGCGGCGCACTATAGCAGTGCGCCACCGGGCCGGCCCTTTCTTTGTTACATTTTGTTTTGTTCACTAATTCCTGTGTTCTTTGTTCTGTACTATACTTTCTGTGGTATTTTTCATACCTAATTCTCCTTGCAGTTTATTCTTCATTTCTGAAGTGATTTTGCCTACTTTCTCTTTCATTCTTGAATTCTACCAACTTCCATCTCTATAGTCTATCCATCACTTTCTCCCCTTTCCTGAGATCTTGTATTTGCGCATGAGGTCTTGCTACAAGTTGGATGAACCTTGAAACATTATGGTAGATGAAAGAAGCCAGTTACAATTCCACATATCATATGATTCCATTCTTATGAAACTTCAGAATAGAGAAATCTATAGTAAATTAGTCGTTACTGAAAGCTAGGGCTAGGGGAGGTTTGTGGGGTGGGGAAGACAGGGAGTGATAGCTAAAGGGTACAGAGTTTCTTTTTGAGGTGATGAAAATATTCTAAAATTGATTTGTGATGTTCGTACATATCTGTGAATATACTAAGAACCACTTTAAATGGGTTAATTATATGATATATGAATTACATCTCAATAAAGCTGAGTAAAAAAAGAAAACCGCCAGTATATTTTCCCACCTTGAATCCCCCTGACATCTCCATGCCTCCGTGCCTCCTTTTACCACCTCCTTTTCATATCAGTCTTGCTCACAGTAACTTCCATTCAGGGTATGGCCTGCTCCTTATGGGAATGAGTTTTTTTTTTTTTTTTTTTTTTTTTTTAATTGGTGGCTGGCCTGTATAGGGATCAAACCCCGGATCTTGTTATTGTCAACACCACGTTGTAACCAACTGAGAAAACCAGCCAGGCCTGTAATTCTCATTTTTCTTTGTAGCATTACTGTGGCTTCCACACAGGTTCTATTGTTTGCTTTTGGCCACATTTCCAAATAATTCGGTGTTTGTCAGTTTTCTCACTTTCCTAGTGGTTGGGACTTTTTATTTTCCTGTTTCTTCCTATAAGATTTTCAGGAGGAGAAATGTCAGATTTAGAAGCAGTTATTCCTTAAAACTACATAATAACCACTCAAGTCCTTTCTGCTTCTCAAATACAAGGTATATTTCAGTCCACAGTTTGTTCTGCAGCTCTTTATTCTTAAAAAGCACCTGAAGTCCTGTTATGCCACTGAAGTTCTCTGTCTCCTAGACCCAATTCATACTCCATGCTTTACATGAAATTTTCATGAACCCATCAGATTGAGTATATCAGTCTTTTCTCTTCCCTCTCACACCAACTTTGTTGTATCTCTCATTAGAAACACTTTTTAACCTCACTGTAAAAATGCAGAGTGATTTCTCATTACTTCTGAGATAAGGCCCAAAATCCATAGCCTGTTTTTTTAGGACCTTTAATGATCTAATCCCTGCTTTATACATCCCTATCTGCCACTTGTCTTTTCTCCATTCTGTATTTCTTGAATGGAGAAAGATGTTTTTTTGCTTGATTGGCTCATGTTATTTTCTTTGGATATTCCTCTATCCTTGCCCTGTCTTCTCTGGTGAGCCTCTCAAGACACGGCTGAAGCACCATCTCCTAAAGGCAGTTTTCCCTTACAAACAAGTTTTGGTTTGTGTTCCTTTAAACTACTTGAGTCCTTCTATATCCATGACAACTTTTATTTCCTACAGTATTGTAATTGCTTCTTGACTTATCTAACTGTGAGTTCCTTCACAGCCCGTCTTGAAACATATACATCTATATCGCCTGTGCTAAGCACAAAGTCAGATTCAGGGAGGCTTCAGTATACCCGAATTTTTAAATAAAAGCATTTTCTTTGCAAAATTCACTACCCAGGGGCCGGCCCGGTGGTGCGCTAGAGAGTGCGCTGCTTGGGAGTGCGGCGGCGCTCCCGCCGAGGGTTCGGATCCCATGTGGAGACCGGTTCCCGCTGACTGAGCGCGGTGCGGGCGCGACACCGAGCGTTGCGATCCCGTTGCCGGTCCCCGGTACAGGCGCAACACCGAGGGTTGCGATCCCGTTACCGTTCAGTAAAAAAAAGACAAAAAGGAAAAAAAAAAAAATTCACTACCCACCCAACCCCAGTCTTCCTCCATCTTTGAGTTCTCTGCTGCTCAGTGACAATAAAACAGGAGGCAGAGAGCAAGGCCCAGCTTATCATTCACTCAATAAAACAAGAAATCATGAAATCCAGAGGCAAGGTCCAGTATTCAAAGTGAAGAGCTTTGGGTTCAGCAAACCTGTGCAACTTCTAATAGTGAATTTGAGCAAGTGACCAACTTCCTGATCTTTTAAATAAGGATAATATAACTATCATAGACGGCTTGAGGGTAAAGGTATGAATTGGTCATTAATGAATCAGAGGAAAGAGAACATGGAAATTTATAATGTTATCCAATCTACTTTTATATATGGTTAATTTTTCCATGTTTTTTTTTTCCTTTTTGTCTTTTTTCGTGTCCGGCAACGGATCGCAACCCTCAGTGTTGCACCCGTACCGGACCGGAACCGGCAACGGGATTGCAACCCTTGGTGTTGCGCCCGCACCTCGCTCAGCCAGTGAGCGGGAACCGGTCTGTAT